GCATAGCTCATTTGGATTTTCCCAGTTGTTTCAGATTTCAACTGGGTTCCTTCCTTCCTTCTTTCCTTCCTTCCCTCCTTCTCTCCCTCCCTCCTTCCTTCCCTCCTTCCCTCCCTCCCTCCTTCCCTCCCTCCCTCCCTCCTTCCTTCCCTCCCTCCTTCCCTCCTTCCCTTCCTACCTCCTTCCTTCCCTCCTTCCCTCCCTCCTTCCCTCCCTCCCTCCTTCCTTTCTTCCATCCTTCCTTCCCTCTTTCTTTTGGTTTATTTATTTTTATGGGAATAAGTGTTTTGCCTGCTTATATGTCTGTGCACTACAAACACATCTGGTGCTTGTGAAGACCAGAAGAGGGCACTGGACCCAATGGAACTGGAGTTAAGGGTGGTTGTGAGCCAACATGTGGGGGCTGAGAACTGAACTGTGACCTCTGCAAGAGTAACAATTATTCCTAACTGTGAGCCATCTCTCCAGCCCCTCAGCTCAGTCTTGAGTCATCCATCCTCCTCACTTATGTTATACTTGTGCTGATCTCACCAACCTTAGGATGTTTCCCTAAAGTCATAGCACTGGGGTGAGCCAGAGGCCCAGGAGCCTCACTGCCTTCCAGGTTAGATTCTACAGAGATACTTGCATTTTGCTATTCTGATTGTCAAATCCAGTCATAAGTCCCTTATGGACTGACTAGCCCCTCTCAGTCTTGTCTTTCTGAAGCATACAAGTTCTGAGGCTTTTCCATGTCACTAATACCTTGAAGAGTTCATGGATTAGCTGTGTTGGCCACAGCACAAAGTACATACACTGCTGCCGCCCTGCCCTGATGGAGCCCTGATGGACTGATGATATGAGAAGTAATGGTAACTCTTCTTTGCTCTGCAACCCCAAGTCCATCTGAGGGGCCTGCCTTTTCCAAGCCCACCTCTGACCTCCAGCACAGACTTAAGCCTGGTATCTCAGTTCTCTCTTGTCTTCCCCAAGCGCCCAGCCAGGAGTTTGGTGCTGTTGCTTTTTATTTGTTGTGATTTTCTTTACTTTAAAAAGAAGATTTATTTCTTTTTAACTTATACTGCTGAATGTATATGCATGTGCATGCAAGTGCACAGAGGCCAGAAGAGAGGGCATTGGATCTCCTGGAGCTGGAGATACAGGCAGATGCAAGCTGCCTGATGTGGGTGCTGAGAAATGAATCACTAAGTCATCTTTCCAGACCCCTGTTTTGTCTTGAGACAGCATCTCACTTGTAACCCCGGCTGACCTGGAACTCACTATGTAGACCAGGATGATCCCAAACTTACAGACATCCACTTGCTGATACCTCTTGTGCTGGAATAAAGTTAGTAATGTCTGAGCCCTTCCACTCCCATACCTGGACTGTACCCAGAACCATAACCCAGAAGGAAGCAGCTCCCTTGAGTCTTGGCAACCTCTAAGTCCTCTCTGCAGCCTGGTGTGGAGTGGTAACAATGAGGGTCCAGTTAGTGGCTCACACTTGTGAAACCTGGAGCTAGCTTTTCTCCCTCTCTGGGCCTCCATTTCCTCATATGTAAACTGAGGTCTCTAATAACAGTTCAGTACACAATTATGAGGACCTTCTCTGGCAGACACTGGTGTAATAAATGAGCAGGACTGCCTCCATATTAGAGGCCTTTAGAATTGAACCCATCCTCCACTGAGGGATTTGTGTGGCCTTCTCAGGGAGAGGCTTCTAGGAGGTTTCTGTATGACCAATAAGTATGTTTTTTTGGCTGTTGTGCCTCAGAACAGTTGACAAAGCAGTTGATATTTCCACCTGTTTGTAGGCAGAGAGTTGATGGAGTGGGTGTGGACTTAGGGGGTCTGGGAAGTTAGGAGGGAGATTGGATTTGTTCCCTTTTAGGAATGAGTGGGCAAGCTCTCACTCTTTTTTGTTTGTTTGTTTTTTTTAAATATTTAGTTATTTGTTATGCATACAGTGCTCTGCCCATGCCAGAAGAGGGCACCGGGTCACATTATAGATGGTTGTGAGTCACCATGTGGATGCTGGGAATTGAACTCACCTCTGGAAGAGCAGCCAGTGCTCTTAACCTCTGAGCCATCTCTCCAGCCCCTCCCATTCATTCTTTGTGACAGAAGTCACAGGCCATCTCTTTTGTGCATAGGTCCTTGATTTCCTCATAAAATAGACTTCAAACTCAGGGGTTGGGATAGAGGTGTAGCTTAGTTGGCAGGGTACTTGCTTAGCACCTATGAAACACTACATTTGATCCCGAAACACTGAATAAACTATAGGCGACATAGACCTGTAATCCCAGTACTTGGAAAGTGGAGACAGGAAAATCAGAAAGTCATCTTCGGCTTCGAGTTCAAGGTGGCCTGAACTGCATAGAACCCTGTCTCAAAACAAATACACAAACTCGGGGGCTAATTTCTACTGGGATGTTGTTCCAGACCAAGAGATTCTAAGCAGTAGAACTTCTATCCTTCTATAACTATCCTTCTAGTTTATGTCAACTTACAAAGTCAGGAGGTCATTAGGCATGGTGGACCTTGCTTTTGATCCCAGCTCCTGGGAGGCAAAGGAAAGCAGATTTCTGTGAGCTGGAGACCAGCCTGATGTACATAGTGAGATCCAGACCAGCTGGGGCTACACAGTATGACCCTGTCTCAAAAAAGAAAACAAGGGGGCTCAGTGGTTAAGAGCAATGCCTGCTCTTCCAGAGGCCGCGAGTTCAATTCTCAGCACAGACATGGTGGCTCACAACCATTTGTAACTCCAGTCCTATGGGATCTGAACTTCTGGCTTCTGCTGGCACCAGGCATACACAAATATACATAGAGGTAAAACACTCATACACATAAAAATAAAATAGAGTTTAAAAATTCTAAAACAAAACAAGAAAAAAAAAATATCCAGGGCTCAAGAGCCAGAGGTGTCGGTTAGTGGGAAGTGCTTGCTAGACCGTATAAAACCCTAGGTCAGATCCCCTCGTTGTCCCTCATCTGCAAGCCATTTCTGTAAATCTGTTTCGTTCTTGGGGGTGTGGAGAGGAGGCAATTATTGTATCTGCCTCTCAAGGATTAAAAGGTTTCATTTGCTCAAATTCAACGGAGAGAGCCAGGTACAGACGGAGGAGATTTTTTTCCTGGTAAACCTGTGTTTCAGAGGAACTGAATTCCCAAAGTCGGCTTCCCTTTGAGGATTTACAAAGGATAGGTGTCAAAGGATAGGTGCGTACTGGTGGGAGGTGAGGGCAGCCGTAAGTGTCCCTGGACACCAAAAGGGCCAGAGTCCACCGAAGCTTATATAGAGAAAGAGATCGAGCTGAACTGGAAGACAGATCTGCATTCAAGACAACCGCAGTGGCTTTCCTCAGCCTCCGCGGGTGACACACCTTCCTCCGCCTCCTCTAGTACTTTTCCTTTTTCAGCTCTCTCCTGCTTCTCTCATTTCGTGGTGTCCCCAAATGGGAAACAGGGTCTTGGAGAAAGAGGTGGGGAGTCCCCAATCTAAGGTTGGGGAAAGGAGTCTCTTGTTTATTGTGACTCCGGTCTTGGGGAGAACCCTGGAGATCGTGGAAGGAGGGTGAAGTGTCCGGAGCCTGGAATAGGGGAGAGGGTCTTGTAGACCAAGTGGAGTACCTCCACTAGCCAGAAGGGGATAGGGAGTCCCTCATAGGGAATGACGTGAGGGACTTCATAGGTTTCAGGGGCGGGGCTCAGAAAGAGGCGCGGTCTCCCGAAAAGCTCTGGGCATCGCTGATTACAGCTAGGCTAAGCCGCAGGAGGCGGAGCCTCATATGAGGCGGGGCTCTTTAAGGGGCGTGGCTGAGGGCGGGGTAGGGGGTGGAGCGTGGAGGTTTGTGTGCTCAACCCTCCCTCCTCCGGTCCCCTAGTGTCCCCGCGACGAGGCTGCACCGAGCAGCCGCGGGCCGAGCCCATCCCGCCGCAGCAGTCCCGGGGCGCAGCAAGGGTGAGGCGGGTAGGGTCGTGCAACGTCCAGAGAGCCACGGAGCGCCGCCAGGTGAGGCCGGAGAGGTGGAGGGGCAGGGGAGGGGGGTGCTGCGCCCCGAGTGCGCGGAGGGGCTGGCGTGTTTGCGTTTCTGGTGGTGGCGAGGTTAGGGGAGCGGGTCAGAGGGCTAGCGCCTGTGGATTAGCGCGTGGGCGCGTCCCTGCGCTAGCATGTCTGGGTGTGCTGCGCCCGCCTGGACTCTGTCCGCGGTGCTAGGGGTGTGCGGGACTGTCTGCGCGCGCGCGCGCGCGTTTGTTTGCGAGGGGCCGCTGGGTTGTGTATCTGCGTATGCTCTGGGCCGTCGTTGTGCCCGTCCCGACAGCGGGGTGCACAGACTCCCCAGCGTTGGGGTTGTTACATAGACTAGCCTGCGGGGCAACCCTCTGCTGCAGGGGTAGCCCTACTGGGGAGCGCCGCCCCCACAGGCCTCCTGAGACCACAGCGGCCTGAGGACCGCAGACAGACACCTGAAGGAGGGAGGGGGCGCGCACCCGGGAGGGAATTAGAGGCCTGCCTGCAGTGACAGGCCAAGATGAGGAGACTGAGTAAGGTGGATGATAGGAGAAGGGGGGATAGAGTGTGGAAAGAGAAAAGGAAGAAAAAGGACAGTGCTAAGAAGACAGCAGAGAGTCACTGAGAACAGACAGACCGACAGAGGCCTAGACCTGCAAAGGGGCGGAAAGATTAGCGGGAACACATAAATCCAAGAGCCTGACGGAAGGGGTAGTAACTGAGTGGGTTAAGAGCTTAAGCCAGGAACTAAGTCTGAAAGGTGAGGCCCCTCAAGTCCTGGCTGCCCCTCTGCCAAGCATATTCTATCCAAAGTTGTTGTATTCCACGGGCCCCATCGAACGCCCTGACACTCTGACTTTGCCATTTCTTTCTTTGCCTTGTCTCACCAATCTCCCTCCTCGGTATCTCAGCAACCTCCCCGTTTATAACAAGTGTTGAAGGGTCATGCTTGCCTTGGCCTAAGGCAGCTTGCCTTGTTTGAGAGGAGCTGAGGTGGGAAGCTGCAGAGTTCTGTTCTCTCCCACTCTGCTCAGAATGGTGCTGGAAGGAAACCCTGACGTGGGATCCCCTCGAACCTCAGACCTCCAGCATCCAGGGAGCAAGGGCTCTTGCATCCTCTCTTCTCCTGGTGAAGAAGCACCGCCAGGCGAGGAACCTGTCAAGTATGGTGAACTCATCGTCCTGGGGTGAGTGAGCCTCCATCGTCTAGGAGTGATGGCCCTGGATAATCCCTCCTCTGGTCAGCCAAAACAGCGGGGGCCCAGTCCTCCCCAGGGCTCCTTGCTCTTTGCTTCTTGTTGCCTTCCCAGATGAAAGACAAGATTGACCAAACCTGCATCTATTCCTAATTATTTGATCTTTCCGCTTTCCATAAAATTCCTGAGACAGTTCTTAAGTCCTTGCCAGAGTTTCTAACCAGATGAGAAAAAGAGTCTGAAAAGCACCTACTGTGTGTAGAAAAGAACTCTGGTTCTGTACAAAACTCCTTGGTCCCAATCCTGCTTTTGCAAGTAGCTGAACTTTCCTGTGCCTCTGTTTCCCCATTTGAACACAGGGTTGACACTAAGTCACAGCCCCAAAGGTTATCTGAAGGAAGGGATTTTTGTAAAATACATAGGCTGATACCCAGCACATACCAAGCGTCTGGCAGGCAGGTGATGCCAACCCTTTTCGTGGACATTATTTCATTTCAATCTTCACAAAGACGCTGTGAGGAAACTAAGGCACAGAGAGGGGAAGTGACTGGCCCAAGGGCACACAACTGGTAAGTGGCAGGGCTGGGATTTGAACCCAGGTCTTCCTAACTATAGATCTAGCACACCATCACTAAGCTGCAGCTCACTCCTGTACTACATGAGAATGTGTAGGCTGTGAGAGAGGGATTTATGGACCTTGATGGCTGGACAGACCCGATCCCTTTCTGGTCTTTGCCTGCCTGGATACCTGCACTTCCCATGAAACTCTTCCCCCCAGACACAGATCCCTCCTCCATTCCTTGTGTCTCCTTTTGGCCTCATCTCTGTCCTGAAGGCACTGCTTGATCAGCTATAGGATCATGATGGGGATTAACCATACAGAACAGTGACTGTCATTTGATGACTTGTATGTGCCACCTTGCCCGGTCATCCGCCTTATGTTTTTTCAAATAACAATAATCAATAACTCCTTTCAAGAGCTAGCCAAACTCTGTCCAGCATTTTACACTGCTTTATCTTGTTTAGTCTCAAAATCAACCTGTAGGTCCTGACAAATGAGCTCCATTTTATAGAGGTTCTGTGGTGAGTGGAAGAGCCAGGATGTATGCTAGGTTCCTGTGTATTCTCAGCCTGCATCCTGACCTCTCTTCCTCTAGATCTGCCTCTGCCCATACAGGAGATGTTCCTCACAGAGATGTTACCTCTGAAAAGAATTGCTCTGTGTCCTGATGAAGGAAGGGCTGTGTTTCTGTCTGGGTGCAAAGCCACAGATAGAAGAAACTGCAGTCTAAGAGAAGGGGCTTTGTTGACTGCCCTCTGCCCCAAGCAGAGCAGGGAACCCTCACTCAAACTTTGTATCAGAGCCACTGGAGAGCCTGTGGAAGTCACACACTGAGTCAGGTGGAGTGGCACACACCTCTAATCCCAGCACTCAGGGGGTAGAGGTAAGAAGGCCAATGTGGGTTACATAAGACCTTGTCCCCAAATCAACAAAAAGAAGAAAGGGAAGGAAGGAGGGAGGGGGAGGAGGAGAAGAGAGAAAAGAAAATATGAGATACCAGGAGGAATCCTACACCTAGAGAGGCAGAATCTCTAGAGAGGTCTAGAGAATATCAACTTTAACAGGCTCACTAAATTCTAATTGGTCCTAATTGGTCCTAATTGTATTTGTTTTTTTTTTTTTTCTTTTTTTTTTTTTTCTTTTTCTTCTTTTTTGAGACAGGCTCTCAAATAGCTCATGCTGGCCTCTTCCTAAGTAGCTGAGGATGACCTTGATCTCCTCTTCTTCATTCTTCCCAAGTTCTGAGATTACAGACTGCATTTATGTGGTGCTAGAGATTGAACCCAGAGCATTGTACATGTTAGGCAAGCATTCCATCCACTGGGCTACATCCCCGGCCCTATATTTGGCAACTTCTTATTTCCTTCTCCAAAGATGTCTGTGTCTCCCCACTACTTACAGAAAAGCATTCTTAGCTTGGCATTCATGTCTCCATACTATACTACCGAATCATCAAATCCTATCCTCACTAAACCCTGCCAGTTTTAGGGCCTTGGCTCAGAGTCCTCTAAATTAAAGGACTTTGGCAAGTTTAGATAGAGTATGACTGCAATCTGGCTTTTTTTTTTTTTTTTTTTTTTTTTTTTTTTTAAGATTCTTAGCTTGAGGCAAATGATTTTCCCTCCTAGGCCTTGACTTGTCTAATTTATAAAATAGGAAGAAAGACATCTCCCTGGCAGGACATTTCACAGATTCCATTAGGAAATTAAAAACATGAAGGACCAGGAACAGAGGCATCCATGGCAGCTGTGAAGGCAATGACTCACCTCATCTTTGTTCTCATGGTCGCTCCCCCTAAATAAAAGCTGGAAAGGAAGGTAGAAATGAGACATGTATGAAGATAATGGAGGGACTGGAATTAGAGGCTGTTTTTTCTCTCTTGGTCATTTATGGTAGTTGTGTGATGAATGACCCTTTGCTGCCAAAGAAGTCTTTCCAGTTCTTCAAGGCCTAGTGTAGGTGTTTCCTCTTCTGGATTCCCAACCCTGGGGTTATCATCCCACCTCCTGCCAATGGGGCTTGAGTGTGCTTGGTCTGTGCCTGGGTTCCTGGAGAAGCTGGGTCCTCTCCTCCACTGAGGGCACAAACATAACTTTGGTGCATCACCCCTACGATCCTAACACTTGCTGTCACAGCTGAGGTTCCAGGAAACAGTTGGCTCATTGAAGAAGGGACCCCCAACACCTGCTCCTCAGTGCAGCCTTTTGCTGTTCTGGGCTCTTCTAGCTTTGGGTAGTTCTAGCATTTGTTTATCAAGGTAGGGTCTACTCTGAGTTGGCATTTTCCTCTAGTTCTCCTAGGGGCTCACTCTCTTCTTTATCTCCTCCTACTACCTCCCCCCCAACCTCTCCATCCCTGCATTCACAGCTACAATGGATGTCTGGCAAGTGGGGACAAGGGCCGCCGCCGGAGTCGCCTGGCATTGAGCCGCAGGCCCCATGCCAACGGAGTGAAGCCAGACGTTATGCATCACATCTCCACACCACTCGTCTCCAAGGCAAGCAGCTTACCCCAGTGGAATGGATGTCATCCTGTCCTGTGTGTACAGGCCCAGGTCTCAGCCTTCCTAGACCTACCAGCCCATGGCATTTCTGGAACAGGGAGCCCACTATGTCATTGTTTACTCACTGCCTATTGGCTCAGCAAAGAAATGAGTATGATGGGACTGGAGAGAGGAATGATGGCTCAATAGGGTAAGAGGGCTTGCTGTGTAAGCATGAAGATTTGAGTTTGGACCCTCAACACTCATAAAATAGAAGCGCCAGTGTCTGTAAACTCAGCACTGTTGAGGGTAAATTCAGGAGGACTGCTGGGGCTTGCTGACCATCATCCTAACTGGAAAACACAAGCTCCAGGTTCGGTGAGGGACATAAATCAGTGACAGAGGACACCCAATGGCTTTTGTGGGCACAGCCTGTGCACACTTATGCACATATACCACACCACAGACACACCCCAAAATAGTGATAATAGACATCGTTTGCACTGTGCCCAATCCTTAACAGCCTTCAGAATGTTTCCTTGACTGCCATGCCCCATTCATTGGTTGAAAATTTTACTTACTTAAAAACTCTTAAAATTTGTTTTCATTTGCCGGCATGAATGTCTATGCACTATGTGTATGCAGTGCCTGTGGAGGCCAGAAGAAGGTATTGGATACCTTGGGACTGGAATTACAGGCCTTTGAAAGCTGCCATATGGGTGCTAGGAATCAAACCTGGGTCCACTGCAAGAGCAGCCAGGGCTCTTAATCACTAAGCCAGACTCAGTAGTTGTTCTGTCTAGAGGCTGGATGTCTCAGCTGCTCTTCAGTATACTCTGGAATCCTGAAAAAGTAGGCTTTAAAGCCAGTGAAAGAATGTGGTTGCCATTGAGAGGGAGAGCAAACAGGCAAAGAGCAAGATCTTCCCTCTTCCATGTCCTTTAGATAGGCTGCCAGCAGAAGGTGTGATCCCAATTAAAGGTGGCTTTTCCTACCTTAAAAAGAAAATCTTGACTAAAGGTTTATCTTTCCACCTCAAATATCTGGATTAGAAGTGGGTCTTCTCACTTCAGTGATTTAATTAAGCAAAAATCCCTCACAGGTGTGTCCAGTTGCTTGGGTTTTAATTAATTCCAAATATAGTCAAGTTGACAACCAACAGCCATCACACACAATACCAAAGGGAAAACTGGCTTTAGCGGGTTAACGTGGAAGTTAAGTCCCTGCTGTTTCCAGCTCTGTGGCTGAGGGCCAGCTCTGGTCTCTGAACTGCAATTCCCAACTGTAAGAATGAAACAATAGCACATTTTTGAGATAGCTGGCGGATTAAACAAGAGAGGCAGATGAGAGTCCCTTCTGTACAGTCTCCTCTGCCCAGGGTGGAGCCACCCCTTTCTGGGAGTGGCTGTTGGGGCTTGAACTGGCTTCTGGCTCAGAGGTCTACACCTCTCCTGTACCCTGGGAAGTGACTGCTTTCTCTCCACCAGGCCCTGAGTAACCGAGGCCAGCATAGCATCTCGTACACACTGTCCCGGAGCCACTCAGTCATAGTGGAGTACACACATGACAGCGACACAGACATGTTCCAGGTATGTCCAGTCTTCCAGCCCCTATGCTCTGCAGGTGTTCAGGGTCAGGCCATGAGCCCAGAAGCCCTGGGAAAAGTGCTTCTGAACACTCATTATAGTGGGTTGCCCTTCAGATGGGAAAGTAGGATGTCTTAGACTAGGTTGCTGACTTTACAGTCAATAGCCAGCTGTTCAGCATCCCTAGAGGTGGGAGGCGGGAGGCTATACAGCTTTGGAATTCAGAGTATAGGGTTAAGCCTCATCATGCCTAGGTTCACTTTGTGCATGTAACCAAGGTGACTTCCGACAAGAGCCATTTAACATCTCTGAGTCATGTCTTCTTCATCTGTAAAATGAGGCCCATATAGCTTCCCCCATGGGAAGAGAACTGAGGTCTTGTACATTAAATGTTTAGCTTAGGCCTAGAAAGATGGCTTAGAGGTTAAGAGCATTTATTGCTCTTGCAAAGGACTCAGGTTCAGTTCCCAGCACCCACATCAGCTGTCTTACAGTGGCCTGTAACTCAGTTACAGAGGAATCGATGCCCTCTGGCCTCCACAGGCACTTGCACACATGTGGTGCAAGAAACTCATTTGGGCACACACACACATATACAAAAATAATAAGTAGGTGTGGTATCTCACACTTTAATACTAGTACTTGGGAGGCAGAGATGGGTGAATTTGAGGCCATCCTGATCAGTAAAGGCTACATAGTAAGACTCTGCTTAATGGTAACAACAGCATAACATCTTTAAAGATACATTCTTACTAAAATTTAATTTGCTGTTACTATACCAGGGTGTCACCTTTTACTTGGTCTATGAGCAAATGAGCTGGTTCTTACTGAATGGGTGTTTCTCAGAGCTGTGGGGCCACAGAGCACAAGTTGATTTCTTGCCACAGCTAATCAGATGTAGAGGACCTGCATGCAAGCCCAAAGGGTCTAGACCAGTAGTTCTCAACCTGATGCTCTTGACCCTATTGGGGGTCACATCCGATACCATGCATATCAGATATTTACAATATGATTCATAATAGTAGCAAAATTACAGTTATGAAGCAGTAATGAAATAATTTTTTTTGGTTGGGGGTCACCACAACATGAGGAACTGTATTAGCATTAGCAAGGTTGAGAACCATCACTCTAGAGAGCTGTGGTGTGCTATCCTCTTTGGGTCTAGCTTCTTGATTGATTGGTGGCTGCTGAGACACTGGGTCAGAAACCTGTGAACTTTGCCTGTGCATGTCTTCTTGCCTTCCTGTCCTTGTAGATTGGCCGCTCTACCGAAAACATGATAGACTTTGTGGTAACAGACACATCTCCTGGTGGAGGAGCCACAGAGGGCCCTTCTGCTCAAAGTACCATCTCCCGCTATGCCTGCCGCATCCTCTGTGACCGCCGGCCACCCTATACTGCCCGCATCTATGCTGCTGGCTTTGATGCCTCTAGCAACATTTTTCTTGGAGTGAGTGAGCCCCCCAGGCAGGGCTAACCCTTCAACAGAGTGAGCTGAGGGGAGGGAGGCTAGGGAGATGCTGCAGCCTAGAGCGATGGGCCAGTACATAGCCATTCTCTGCAGCCCCACCCTCCTATGGCTTCAGCAGCCCACTTCTTAAAGAGGCTAAGTGGTGCTCAAGACCTTTCTGGGAAACCCCAGATCTTGAAGGTGGGAGGACAACACCTCTGGCTTCAGCCTTTTGGGGGCTCTTGGGGTTGTGAGCTTGTCCTTCATGTGGTTCTAGGAGCGGGCAGCCAAATGGAGGACTCCTGATGGTCTGATGGATGGCCTGACAACCAACGGGGTCCTGGTGATGCACCCAGCAGGCGGCTTCTCCGAGGACTCTGCCCCAGGTGTCTGGAGGGAGATTTCTGTCTGCGGGAATGTGTACACATTGCGGGATAGCCGCTCAGCCCAGCAGCGGGGGAAGCTGGTAGGTAGCCTCCTCCATTTTTCCCCATCCTTCCCAGGCCCTCATAATCAGTTCTTTGCTTTTCCAAGCTGGGAGATGATATATAGTACTTCTCTCCAAGAGAGTCTGGCTAGGCTCTGGTGAGTGCCAGGCTCAGTGTGTTCTTGACACTTCTCACTTACCCCACAGACAGGACCAGAGCAAGGTCTTTACACATAGCTTCATATTGCCAGGGATCCAGCAGATGATATGAAATAGAACTAGACAAATGCACTGTGTAGAACCAAATGGCTTTGAGGCTGCCAGGAGCTTAGGAAAATCACATGCTCTTCCAAGGGTGACACTTGGTCTGTGTATGAGCAGAGTGTTGGCAGCTTATACTGTGTCTGTTACATTCAGGGAGGTTTAGTGTTTTTATTCTTTTCCAGCAGGAAATGCCTTTGGAGTAGTTATTATAGTGCTGGTCCAGAGTTATCCCTCTGGTGCTGCTTAGAGCACTAATGCTGGGAGTGAGTTATAGGAAACATAGGGCCATATAGCCAGATTCCTTGACTGGACCACACAGAATTCTCCCCAGGTGCCAGCACATGGAAAGGCTATGAATTTAGGCCAGCCTGGGCACATAGCAAGAGCCTGTCTCAAAATCAAACGAGGGACTAGAGAGATGGCCCAGCAGTAAGAGCACTGACTGTTCTTCCAGAAGACCCAGGTTTGATTCCCAGCATTCACATGGCAGCTTACAGCCATCCATAACCCTAGTTCCAGGAGCTCCAACACCCTCTTCTGAACTCTGTGGGAACCTGGCATGCATATGGTGCAGAGATCTACACTCATAAAATTAAACAAAACAAAACCAAACCAAACAAAAAAGCAAATTATGCACATGCATGTGACATGGATGTATACTTGTTACATGCCTACTGTGTACCAGGCATTGTTCCATGTTTTGTCTGGTTGGCTTATTTAGTCTTCACAAGGCCCACCACTTGAGATATGGAATCCACTTTGAGGCCCAGGAGACCAAGACAGAGAAGTTAAGTTATTCTCTCAGATGAGTAAGTGAATGGCAAGACCAAGATTCAAATCCAGGCTCTCTGTCTCTAGAGTTATTGCTGTGATTCATGACCCTTAGGACAGCTGCTTTGGGCTAAGCAGCCAATGTGCACCATGGGAAGTATTTGCTCTCTCTGCTACATCCTACTTCTGCCATTATGGGAGAGCTTTGGAAAACCTTTCAGAAAAACCTTACTTTGGGCCAGACCTCCTGATTTGACCTATAAAGATACCAAAGTCCAGGTCCCACTGAGAATAGGGGCTGTACATACTTGGGGGCATCTGTCTTCCTTGTCTCAGTTGGTCTGCTGGCCTAGGGTGTTCTCTCCAGGGAATGTCACTGGCCAGATAGGTGGCTTCTCTGGTGTGAGGCTGCCTGATGGCAGAGCCAGAGAGCTCTTGGGCTAAGGCCTTCTGCTGCCTCCGGCAGGTGGAAAACGAGTCCAACGTCCTGCAAGATGGTTCGCTCATCGACCTATGTGGGGCCACGCTGCTGTGGCGCACTCCAGCAGGGTTGCTGAGGGCACCCACACTGAAACAACTGGAGGCCCAGCGACAGGAGGCCAACGCAGCACGGCCCCAGTGTCCTGTGGGCCTCAGCACCTTGGCCTTCCCCAGTCCAGCCCGTGGCCGCACAGCACCTGACAAGCAACAGCCCTGGGTCTACGTCCGTTGTGGTCATGTCCATGGCTACCATGGCTGGGGCTGCCGGAGGGAGCGAGGCCCTCAGGAGCGCGAGTGTCCTCTTTGCCGCCTTGTGGGACCCTATGTGCCCCTGTGGCTCGGCCAAGAGGCTGGGCTCTGCCTGGACCCTGGACCACCCAGCCACGCTTTTGCACCCTGTGGCCATGTCTGTTCTGAGAAGACTGCCCGCTATTGGGCCCAGACACCACTGCCGCATGGCACCCATGCTTTTCATGCAGCCTGCCCCTTTTGTGGGGCTTGGCTCACTGGTGAGCATGGCTGTGTCCGCCTAATTTTCCAGGGGCCACTGGACTAGGCTTTCCAGGGTCCTTGCTGCCACGCTGCCTGCCCACCCAAGTCCCCCATCTCCTGCTGTTCAGAGGGAGCTCTGCATGTGGGGCTGTGCCTGCTGGCGATAGCCACACCAGGTGGACATATTGGGCTGTGGCCCTCCCCTCAACTCTAGCCTCCAAGAGGATCCCTGAGATCTCTATCCCAGTCATACTGATGGGGACTTTAGCACCAGCTCTGCCTCAGGCTAATGGAGGGCATCCCATGCCCCTGTCCTTCCTGGGGTACCCTACATCATGCTACCTACACTGTGCCCCTGGGGGAATGAAGGGGCCATGACCCCTGACTTCCAGCTTAGTTTGGTTGTGCCCTGAACCTGCCAATCCAGTAACAGCTATTCCTTCCTCCTCCTGCTGCCCGGGGTTGCTCTGTAAATCTTGCTGCTCAGCTGCCCTCACAGATCCGCATCTCCCACATGCATGCAATACCTCCTCAGTGAGCAATGAGTGGGCAGGCAGTCCGAGGCCAGCATTTAGAGGTGGGATAGTGCCAAGTGGGGAACACATGGACAATCAGGTTCTGCACCTAGTGGATTTCACAGTCTCGAGGGGGGTAGGCAGCCTCATGGGTGTTAGGATCCGAGAATTCTAGGGCTAGATTACAGCGCTTGCTGGATTTGGGAAAGTAAAGGGCTTCATGGAGGAGGTGGCACAGGAAGGAGCTCAGCCTCTATGCTGGCTTGGAAGGTAAGGGCTCTGTACCCTCTTGGCACAGGCTCAGGGTAAGGAAGCAGGGAAGGAGAAACAGATTAAGGGATGCTGGAGCATAGCATGTGCTCATGCTTGGTGGAGAATCCAGATCCTCATTTGTGGACAGTCAGGAGTCAGCTTCACAACACTGGCTCTGACCCAAGGGCTACCATTCCTGAATATTCACTGTGTGCTTCACCCCATCCTAACAGTAATTACAGCTCTGTCCATTGAGCACTCACTAGGTACCAGGGCTCTGTCTCTCCAAGATTTTGTTATTTAATCCTCATAGTGACCCAGAAAGGGAGATGTCTCCACTTGGGTTCATAGAGAGATAAAATTACAACCTAGTTGCAAGCCATTATTGGAAGCCACAACTACCCCTCTCAGATCATACTAAGGCTGGGCAGGACTGAGGCAGTTTAGAGTCTGTTTCATTGAAAGCTGAAGAACAGATAGATGGGTATCCACCTGCTCAGTGCCCAGCCCCATACAGGGCCCCAGCAATGAGCAAGGGCTCCCCACTGAGAGGACACCCTGTGGGACTAATGCCAGAAGCTGATCACCACATCCTGCTGGCCACCTGTGCATGCTGGGATTGTCCTGAGAACTTGGACAGCTTAAGACCAGAGCCACATCTTGAATGCCAGACACTGCAGAGGCAGGATGGAGTTTGGAGGGCAGCATGGGTGAGGGCAACAGCATAGGAGAGCAGGGAAAATGCCTAACAACCAGTATCTGCAGGTCAACCGGAAGAGTGATGGGATCAGGGCTATAGGCTCAGACCTGGTGGGCCTTTGACTGTGAAAGTCAACTCAGTGCCAAACTCCTCCCTATTCCTCCTGTTGGTGAGTCAGGTCTTCATGTGAACCAAGGGCTGAGCTGGGGTGTCCCCCTGACCATTCAAAGGGGAGTGAACCAGGAAAACAGGTAGATAGACTATAGAGAAATAAGAGGAGGTGGCTCTGAGTGTAGGTGTGACTTGCACTTATCTTCAGTGCCAGACAGAAACCAGAGCATTAGGGAGGTGCAGATTCCACAAGGACCTGCCCAAGGCCACACAGCTGGTTGAGGCCAGAAAGACCAGACTTGGGCTATTGAGAAGACAGAAGGCAGGCATCACAGAGCAGACTGCATCACATAGCTACAGTGGGAAAGCTTGGCAGAAGGGGATGCCAGAGTGTAAGGGAACATTTCAGCCCTCCCTGCAAAACACTAGAAATGAAACTCTGTTCTTGCTAATGATCCAGTTGGGGACCAGGCAGGGGATCTTATTTTTGGCGTTGAATCTTAGACTCTGGGAGGAGCAACAAACAAAAGATAATTGCCTAGGCTCTGAGAAGAACTCAGGCTGGTGGTGGGAAGCAGCTTTTGAGCTTCAGATCCCACAGTTGTTAAATGGAGTGACAGTCTTTAAAGCCAGGCACGGTGGCATGTGCTTGTAATCCCAGCTAAGGCTAAGGAAGGTGGATTGTGTGTTCAATGCTAGTCTGGGCTATATGGCAAGACCTTGTCTCAAACAAACAAAACCAAAAAGTACTTCATTCACCAGATAGATGTAAACATACAGCAAAGCAATGACCCATTAATATAATGTGCTGTGGAGAGAGAGACAGAGAGTGAGTGTGTATGTTGGGGCAGGAGAAGAGAACAGTATAGTGGAAGGTCTTAGGAAATCAAAGCTCCTCTTAGTCTGAGTTTTCCCACCTGTGCAATTGGTACAACAGTGATATGCTATCTCAGGGGTTTTGCAAGAATTAAATGAGATTCTATATGGCAAGCTGCTGGTAAAGGACTTCATTTAATAAGTACTCCCATTAATTGAGATTATAAGACGGCATCATGCAGCTTGGTTGGGGGGTCTTGCATACTGGGATCCTTCACTTGCCTGAGCTACCCCTTGGTAGCTATGGACAGCTCTACCTCTCCTACCTGGTTATAGTTACATTTCAACTTCATCTGAGTCAGTCAACTTTATTCTAAAAACAATGAAAAAAGGCAAAAGGAAAGAAGGGGAGTTTCCTCAGGACATAAACATTTTTACAGAATTCCCTCTAATGACACACACCAGAGCCAACAGCTACTAGCATTGTGGTCACAAGCCCATCTTGGGCACTTTTGTGAATGAGAAACTCGTGCTTGTGCTGGATACTGATTACACTGGGCCCTATATATTAGGTGTGACAAGGTGTTGGCTTTCAGTCCCAAGACACTACCTTCTACACAACCGTAGGGGGCAGCACTACCACTTGACGGTCGCCCAACCCTTAGAGCAGATTCACTTACTAGTTTTGAAGTAAAGCTGACAGAACTCAAGAGTCAGAGAAATGACCTACCTAAAGTCACATAACTGGTGGGTGACAGAAGTCACCTTAGGCAAAATGCGTCAGTTCCCAGCTCTTTGCAGTGTTTACTCCATCCGGCAGCAGGAACTTGCATGCTCTAGGGGTCACTAGGACACCTTCATGACTATTAAGAGCCCACAGTATGCTTGCCAGCATCCTGGGTTGACCCTGACTAGCCAGAGGCTGCTTTTTTATTGTGTCCAGCAAACGGCTACACCAAGAAAATGCTGGCTCCTTGCTGCCCTCGTCTTCGCATGTGTTAAGGAAATTGGGACTTCGAATGTTTAAGGGTTACTTCCAATCCCGTGGAAGTAAAGCGCCTGTACCATTTTTCTGCGCTTCAGACTGGGTGGAACTACCTCTGTTCTCCAGTATCTTCTTCGCATGTAGCCTCCACTCTTTGCAACAGCTTTGTAGTCTCCAAATAGTGTCACTAAATCCAGAGAGAAGGGGGAGCAACATTGCATGTTGCTAACCGCCAAACCTAGGTTGGAGGAACACTGGAGGTGAAACCCCAAATAGAGCAGGGTCCCAGCTACGTGGTGGGGGCTACTGATGTATAGGGACCCTTATGTTTGGGGACCTTGTCAGTACCCTCTGTCTGCACCAGGCAGCAGCCACGTGGGTTACCAAGATACCCAAACTATTTCCCCCCTCATTTCCCCACCCTCACTTCTTGGAGCGACTGTGGCCAGCGGACAAAAGGCCAAAGCCTTAGGGCCCTCCTAAGCAAGCACCACCCATAGCGCCCGGGGACGGCGAGTAGATGAGGGAGATCCTGTCCTCTGCACGTACACTGGCTGCAGCCGCCGCCCATCTGATCCCAGGGACCAGACAATTGGCTGGTGGGGGCGGGGCTTGTGAAGTCCCAATGAATGGGGGGGAGCCGGAAGCAGGAAGTGAGTTTGCGAACGGAGCAGCTGCAGCAGGTGAGGTGCGGAGCCCTGGTTTCGAGGTCATGGTGTGTCATCTTCAGGGGATTAGAGCGTGGCGGGGCTGTGAGCGCAAAATCATCCTCTTTCTGCCCACCCTTCAGTGCCTTTTCCAAATCTCTCCCTACTTTTGGGCCAAGGAGGCTTTCTGGGCAGTAAAGAGTTAACACCTCTTTCCGAGCCCCGGCGACTGGGTAGTTGGGGCGGAGCCGCGCGAATGGGGAACGCCGAGGGTGGAAACGCGTGCTTTGTTAGGGGCGGGGCGTGGGGAATGTGGAGAGTTGGGAATTCCCTGGGTCCCATCTGGATGAGTTGCTTGTTTTACAAATGTCAGTGTCTCTATCTGGAAAATGGGTTGTGACCTTGTACGGCTGTTTCCTACGTGTAGCAACAGAAGAAAGCAGGATAAGGGAGGGCTGAAGAAAAGAGAGGAGACTGGGACAGATGCTGGGAAGGAAAAGCATACAAGAAACATCATTATTACTCTTTTGGGTTTACTTGTTTTTTGACAGGGTTTCATGTACCCCAGACTGGCCTTGGAATCCATCCCAAGGCCTGGTTGGTGCTAGGTAAACACTATCAACAGAGTTGCATACCTGCCCTGGAAGTGGCCTCTTCTAATTTGCATACCCAGTTGTTGAGTTTAGTGTCATCTTCATTATCAGTTTTACAGAGGAGGAGAAAGAGATGCAGGAAAGTGGAGTGGCTGGCTTGGGATTTAGGACTCTTTGATGGAGCAGATTGGAACAGGGGGTGGGTGGGAAACTAGATATCTGCCTTGGTCAGCAGTGATGGGCAGAGGTGTTGAGGTTTCTGAACCAAGAGGCATGGAAGTCTGAGAAGGTGGAGGTGAGTGAGACAGCTTGGGAGTCAGCAACAAGGATTTATTCTGCAGGTTCCTTCTTTGTGTGCATAGGAAAAAAGTCTTGGCATCTTTGAGCCTCAGTTTCCCCATCTATAATATTAGGTAGTTGGATTCAGACTTTAAGTCTGAGAGGCCAAAAGGCCCCAACTGTCCCACAAAGCATTTGAGTCTTTGAATTCCAGCACATCAGGTGAATGAATGCTACTGGATCACTCCCTCTTGGGCTTTTAGGTAAAGTTAGCTCATGAGAGTTCAGAACAGATGTGAAGATGGTGTGTTCTCTGAGATGACTGTGATGTGTCCTTTTAGGGCCCATGGCAGATACACAGTACATCCTGCCCAATGACATCGGTGTGTCTAGCCTGGACTGCCGTGAGGCCTTCCGCCTGCTGTCTCCCACAGAGCGCCTCTATGCCCATCACCTGTCTAGGGCTGCTTGGTATGGAGGCCTGGCTGTGCTGCTGCAGACCTCCCCTGAAGCCCCCTACATCTATGCTCTGCTTAGCCGTCTCTTCCG